TCACGGGTCCAGGCCGTCGATGTTAGATCGCTTCCGTGGGCCTTTGGGCTCAGCCCTGCCCGCCCACCCTTGAGCCTTGTATAGAGATGCTCCGTCTGTCGCTGGAGGTCGCTTCTGTTTGTCCTGGCCTCCCGCGTCTCAGCTCGACGCGGATGGATTGCGCGCTCTGGCTGGACAACGTTTGCGAACAGACACTGTCGAGATGCTGGCCTGGAAAGAGAGCGGGGTCGAGGATGTGTATACGTATGTATGCACGCATGCATGCATGCAGGTATGTATATATGCATGCAACCATGTATGTATGCTTGCATGCGTGCGTGCATGCATGCATGTGTGTATGTATGTATGTATGTATGTATGTATGTATGTGTGTGTAAATGCACATAGTCACATATAAGTATATACACATACCGCATAGACCACCCTTCGGGTGATAAGGAGGTGAGGGGGGGGGGGGGAGGGACCAACGTCGCACTCGATTGATCAAACTATCGAACTCACTACCGATCTCACAATCGATGTCAATCGATAGATCTCACAATCGATCTGACTATCGATCTCAAAGTACATCTCACAATCCATCCCACAATCGATCTCACATTCGGTCTCGCTATTGATCTCACAATCGATATCACAATCGATTTCGCATTCGATCTGGCTATCGATCTCACTATCAAACTCACTATCGATCTCAGTATCGATCTCACATTCGGTCTCACTGTCGACCTCACTATCGATATCTCAATCGATTTCACAATCGATCTCGCATTCGGCCTCACTATCGATCTCGCTATCGAACTTACTTTCGATCTCATTATCGATCTCACTATCGATCTCACTATCGATATCACAACCGAACTCACAATCGATATCCCATTCGGTCTCACAACCGATCTCACTATCGATCTCATTCTCGATCTCATTACCGATAGTGATCTCACTATTAACTCAATCGATCGATCTCGCAATCGATCCTTCCATCGATCTCACAATAGATTCCACAATCGATCTCACATTCGGTCTCATTATCGATATCACTATCGATATCACAATCGATCTCACAATCGATATCCCATTCGGTCTCACAACCGATTTCACTATCGATCTCATTATCGATTTCACATTCGGTATCACAATCGATCTCACAATCGATCTCACAAGCGATCTGACATTCGATCCCACAATTGATATCACAATCGATATCACTACCGATATCGCTATCGATCATCAAAACAAAACATCAACATCGTCATCATCATCATCATCATCATTACCATCATCATCATCATCATCATCATCATCATCATCATCATCATCATCATCATCATCAATATCATCACCATAATCGGGACACCGACGGGGCACAGGCGGGACATCGCGGGCCCCCGGCCGCCCGGAAGGGAATCATTTGTTCCGGCCGCGCCTCAGCCACATGGGACACCAGCGGGACACCGGCGGGACACCGCAGGGCCCCGGCCGCCCGGAAGGGAACCATTTGGTCCGGCCGCGCCTCAGCCACACGGGACACCAGCGGGACACCGGCGGGACACCGCGGGGCCCCAGCCGCCCGGAAGGGAATCATTTGGTCCGGCCGCGCCTCAGCCACAGGAGATTTTCCTCTCGCCCGCCCACGCAGCTTCGCCTCGCCCGCACGCACGGCACGCACGAACACGAAACCGAAATCGATTTCCCGGTAAGGGGGTTCTCCGTTCCACTTCGATCTCACCCCCTCACCTCCGATCCGTAAGGGGCTCGCCCTTTGCCGCCGGCCCCCTCTTTGCCACAATTGGATCTGCAGGGGCAGTGGGGGGAGGCCTGGGCGCCGTCGCGAAGCAGCATCGGAGCCTTGTCCATGGACGATCTGCAACCGTCGAGACAAATTGAGATTCAGATGATATTTTGGACGCCCGAAATGGGTACGGAAAGAATGGGTACAATGCCCAACAGCAGTTCCTGTTCATTCTAAACAGGACTCGCTGTTGGTGTCGCCGCGGCCTGTGTCCATTTGAGACGGAAGGCCGCCTGCCCAACAGCGGCCGCTGTTGGTTTGGGGCAACATTTGTTCTTGAGCACTGTACCCATTCTTTCCGTACCCACTGCGGGCGTCCAAAGATATTGCGTCGCTTTGTGCTGCCTTTTTCCGGGCTTCTCCTCACGCTGTGTGTCGGAGGCCCTTTCGAAACGACAGTGGGTTGCCTGAGGCCACGCTGGGCAACATCGTGCGGCCTGGACGGTCTTTGGGTTACTCGGCGCTTTCATTTGCAAGGGACCGTGGCTTCGGGGACGCGAGTATGGTACAACTTATTCAATCGTTTCGCTCGTTTCGCTCATTCTGCTGGCCCGTATTGTGCCATCGCAGGCGTTTGCCTGCGCGTTCGTGGCCTCTTGGGGCCTCTGGGGGGTCGTTTGGGGGCCTCTTGGGGCCTCTCTTCGGGCCTCTTGGGGGCCTCGTGGGGCCTCCAGAGGGCCCTCCTGGGCTCTTTTCGTGGCCTCTTGGAACGTCCTGGGGGCCTCTTGGGGCGGAAGGCTCGAATGGGTGGTTCGTGTTCCTATTCTTGGGGCCGTCTTGGGTGCCACTGGGGCCATTTTGGGGCTCTCGTGGACCGTCTTGGGGCCCTCTTGGGGGCCTCTCGGGCCGTCTTGGGGCGGTCTTGAGGGTTTCGGGGGCCATCTCAGCGCGTCGGAAGCTCGAAAACGCGAGAACGCGAAGCCCGGAAACGCGAGAACGCGCTGGACCTCTTTGGGGTCCTCTTGGAGCACTCTTGGGGCTTCTTTGGGGCCTCTTGGGCCGTCTTGGGGCCATCTTGGGCGTTTTGGAGCGCTGTTGGGCCGTGATTCCGATTCGTGGGCCCTTTTGGAGCTGCCTTGAAGTTTCTTGGGCCGCTCCTGGGTCGATCTGGATGGCCCCGAAACCGCACCGGGAGTTCTGGCATCCTCGGCGGACTTTGCCTGGACTTTGCCGGGACTCTGCCGGGACCTTGCCCGGGACTTTGCCGGGAGTCGGCCCGGGTATTTTTCGTCTTGGGACCGCGCGCGCGAACTAGAATATACATATGCTCTGCGAACCAGTTATCGGAAACTGGAGCATATACGTTACCAGTGGCGGGCTGTTTTTGAAATCCGAGGAATTGTTGAGGGTCGGGGGCGACGTCGGGGTGGTGTGGTGTATACTTGTTTCCCCATTTTCCGGTGGAAACAACCGGAAACGTATACACCAGGATCCCATATACACTAGGGTCTGCTTTCTTGTGCGAGTTCCAGTGCTGGGCCGGAAAAAGCGTCGGTAGTGTATAGAGTTCGGCTCCCTAACTTACCGGAGATCTTAGCACGCCTCTGGGCCGTTGGGCCTGCGAATGCGGAGTCGTCGCCTCGAGGGCGCGAGCATTATGAAATGCCCCAGATCTGTCGTGGTCTCGGCGCGAATACTGCGTGATTTACCAGGGGTGGTGGCTTCGGGGACGCGAATCTGGAATTGTTTGCTCGGGTTTGTGGTTTCGGGGGCGGCGAGGACGCGAAAAGGGATCGTGGCCTCGAGGACGCGAAAATGGCTACAGTCGGATCGAGGTATAAGATCGAGGTCGGTTCGGGGAGGGTACCCTGGCGTTCATCGTGTTTGTTGGATGTTCTTGTGCATCCTGCGGGGGGTACGCTTGGATGTTTTGTGCGTTTCGGCCAGCGGAGGGTCTCATGTTCTTGAAGGATGTTCTTCTGGCCTAGGTCCGACTGTAATGTACGAGGGTTTATGGCTTCGGGGATGCAGACATTGCATACTTTCCGAAGGATCATGGCCTCGGGAATGTACATCTTGCGTAATTTAAAAGGATTATGGCTTCGGGGACGCGATTGTGGTGTCATTTTCGGGGGTTTATGGCCTCGGGGGCGCGATCACCGTGTACATTACAGACGATTATGGCCTCGGGGCGAATATCGTGCAATCCACGGGAGTTTATGGCTTCGGGCACGAGGCGATCGCGTAATTTACGAGGGTTTATTGTTCTGGGAATGCGAATATTGTGTATTTGTTCGTGTGCCAAGACCCCCCTTCAGGCATTCTGAAACCACCCCGAGGACGTGATGTAGGGTGGTTTGGGGTTCTTCCCCCCTCGCGCGGACTTCAACAATTTCCAGTAGGAAGCAGACAGCAGAACCGTAACATTGGAAGCTGGAAACTGGAACTGGTGCAGGGAGCATCAAGCCTAGCCCCCGTAGCCGGTTGTTTTTATATATAAACGTATGCATATATATCATATTATTTATACATACGTATATATATATATATATATATATCTATATGCATATTTATATATATATGTATATATATATATAGAGAGAGTGAGATGGAGAGAGAGAGAGAGGACAAAGGAGAGAGAAAGAGAGAGAGAGAGAGACGACAATCTCTCGCCCCTCTCCTGCGCAGCGCTCCCCCCCGGACTCGTGTGTCGAGGCTGCCCTCCAAGGGGTCTGGGACCCTCCGTCACGTGCTGTCTTCGGCGCGGTGGGGGCGAGCGGCGACCCATCGGGAGCTCGGCGGGATCACACGGGGCATGCTGTGCAGTGGCCGTATCCACGAGCGGGCAGGAAGGGTGAGCCGGGGGGCGGGTAGGAGGGGCGATCTGTAAACGGGAGAGGGAGAGAGGGAGAGAGAGAGAGAGAGAGAGAGAGAGAGGGAGAGAGAGGGAGAGAGGGAGGGAGAAAGACAGAGAGAGAGAGAGAGAGAGCGAGAGAGAGAGAGAGAGAGCGAGCGAGAGAGAGAGGAGAGAGCGAGCGAGAGAGAGAGGGAGAGGGAGAGAGAGAGAGAGAGAGAGAGCGCAACAGGCGAAACACGGCAGGTATCAGAGCCATCTCGTGAGAGGGACGGAGGTTGGGAGGATTGCGAGGGAAATACGTAATACTGGGGAACGTGCAGACAGGCAAGCGGAGGCAGCGAGGCAGAGGTGGCGGTTGTGTTCGTGTCGGCAGCACGAGCTGCCGTTCAGCAGTCGGCGCTGTGTTGCGGCAAGGTTGTCGCCTCCTGCATCGACGAGGCGGAGGATGTGCTGCGCAGAGGCGGGCGATATGGTTTCCTCCCTTCGTTGGTTCCCCTCTCTCATCATCGCTCCTCTCCCCATGCCTTCGACGCCGTTGTCTTCTCATGACGAGGGTGCCCCAAACTCTCGACCCCTATCCCCAGGACCTGCTTCTCGCGGACGGCCCTCGGACGCAGAATGCGGCAGCGGCAACGCGTCAAATTTTATTTTTTTCCTCGACGCCCGTTTGCATCCTCCCTTCCTCTCCTTGCCCTCTCCAGCCTGGTCACGTTTGAGGCCGCGAACGTGATCGCGCTTCGCGCTTGGTGCCCACGCCACCGATGGCAGGGAACGGCGACCCCCAGCGAGGGCGATCCCGGTTGAACGCCGCCTGAGGCTCGGACTCGGCCCATATCGAACGATTTGTCACGGCCCGGATTAGTAGGTCGACCCTGCCAGCTCAAGGGTACCCTTGTGTCCTGTGCCTCGCGACACGTGCCTTCTCACACTCCTATGGCGGTGTGGCCCTCGGAAGGGTCTTGTGTCCTCTCGCGTGTCCTCTCCACTCAAGTCCGACTGTATCTGGACGCCGCCGTTGCTCCAGATTGCGCAATCCACGCGATGCCAGAAGCCAGCGCCGACGACATCGCGACGTGAACCCGTCGTGAGTTGCCCGCGGCACGGCAGGTTCGCGCCGCGCAGACGCGGGTGCCATGCTGGGGCTTGCGTGCAAGGGCTCCGGCCGGCAGCGGCCTGGATCGGGCCATGCTGGAACGATCGGGGGCGGCAAAGAGGGGGGTGAGGACTAAGGGGGGGACTAGGGGGGGGTGGATCTCATGGCGGGGGTCATGATATTTCCCCAGATTTCATGGCGCCTCTTCTTATTTCATTACGTCCCTGGCCCCCCCGCTGGGTCGCGCACATGCCGCCGGCCATGATTTGCACCCCCCCCTCTTGGACACCCCCCTCTTGGCCGCTTTCGAAACGATCTGCTCTGGTGGGACGATGGAGATCGCTCAAAGCTGAACGATCCTCGCGGCATAAGAGACCAGCGCCGATCACGCTGGGAGGAGGGAGGCGAAAGAGGAGGGAGCAGGGAGGGAGGAGGGAGGAGGGAAGCCGGGGGAGCGGAAACCCGACGAACGAGCCCAGCGGGCGGCGACGGGGCGGCGACGGGGCGGCGACGGCGGCAGCAAAAAGGTGGACCCGACAAACGAGCCCAGACGACGGGCGGCAACGAAGCGGCGACGGGGCGGCGACGGCGGCAACCGGGCGGCGGACCCGACAGTAGAGGCGAGTTCCTTAGCTAACAGGTAAGAACCCTTAAGTGCAAACACCGTTGGGGAACATGTGGCTCTCTCCTGAGCGCCGTACACATTCGCCTTAAAAAGCTTGCAGCAACTTCAAGGATGGAGGGTGATTTTTCATTCGTCTTGAACGTTTGCAGCAGTTTCGAAGACTTGCATGGTCGCAGTCCCAATAATGGGTCTTGGCGCGATTTAGGATTGTCAGAATCCTCCTCCTCCTCCTCCTCCTCCTCCCTTCTCCTCCCCTCCTCGCTCCCGCCGGGAGGTTTCCGCAGCAGGAAGACGGAGGGCACGCTGTGCAACGAACAGTCCTCGAGGTCCTCGCGCGCGCGCGTGTCAGCGTGCTCTTACTCGCCGGCGAGTGGGAGCCGAATCACAGGAGCAGCACCTCGCATGCAGGAAGAGGTGGAAAAGGAAGAGCGCTGGGGTCACACCAGGTGCGCTCGCGCCATGTCTTACATCCTACCCCTCCCACTCATCCCTTCTCATTGCGCTGACTTTTTCTCAATCCGCCAACAGGTGTCGTGGCGGACTGGGAAATCCCCAATGGACACTTCCAGATGTCCGCGCGAATTTCTTGGGTCGGCGCTGGACCCCCCTGGCGGCGCCTCCTTCACCGCCCCTGTGGCGCTCCGCGCGCCAGGGAGCCGGGCCCAGCGCCGATCCAAGAAACCCGGGTGAATCATTTCACCAGTGTGAAACATATCCCTATCCTTGTGTTTGGCATCACCTCACCTCGATGCCGATCGTAAGTATTCCCTCAGTTTTTGATGGTGCATCCCTAACATTGTCCTCGCTTTTTGCGCGCCCATCGTAGGGATACGGATAAGTTCGAGGCTGGTTATCGTTGCCAGTTTGGGTCTATGTCTTTCTGCCCATTCCTCTCGACGAGGATGGCCGAGACCGCCTCTTGGGTGCTGCTCTTCTCAGCTCGTGGCGGCTCCTCCGGGCGGGCGAGCCGGCTGCGTTCCAGCGATTCTCGCCACGGTGATGTGCAAGTGACCGCCGAGCACCCAGGTCGCCCAGCCTCGAGGAGCGTCGAGGAGGGAGGAGGTTCGAGGCGGGCCAAAGGTTCGAGGAGGAGGATGGAGGAGGAAGGAGAGGAGGAGGAGGAGGAGGAGGAGGAGGAGGAGGAGGAGGAGGAGGAGGAGGAGGAGGAGGAGGAGGAGGAGGGAGGAGGAGGAGGAGGAGGAGGAGGAGGAGGAGGAGGAGGAGGAGGAGGAGGAGGAGGAGGAGGAGGAGGAGGAGGAGGAGGAGGAGGAGGAGGAGGAGGAAGAGGGAGGAGGAGGAGGAGGAGTAGGAAGGAGATGAGGAGGAGGAGGAGGAGGAGGAGGAGGAGGAGGAGGAGGAGGAGGAGGAGGGCCGTCGGGGTCGTCGGGCGGAGTCTGCGTGCAATCGACGGTCGGCCAGCCGAGAAGAGTGCGAGATGTGCTTCGGGACGAGGAGGATGAGCAGCCTTTGGTTGCCCCTGCGTCCTCTGACTCGGACCCACGTGCTGATTCGCTGGGCGCGGCACCTCAGGTTGCAGCATGCACAGTGGCTGCACTGCCCGAGGGCCCACCCGTCCGAGGGCCTCTGGCGCGGGTCTCCCAGTCGTGCTGGGCCACGTGACACCCTCTGCCGCAGCGCGTGGCCTCTTCCTACTGACTGGCCCATCTGCTCGTGCAAGGGGCGGGGTCCTGGGTCCTGCTTCCTGGCCCTGGGGCGGTGCGTTTCACCGCGTCCGCCAGCGCCAGGGGCAGTCTGGCAGGGAGGAGCTTCCTCCCCGGGCGACCCACCGCGCCAGCCGCGCAGGCAGGCCAGGTTCGGGTTGGGCGTGGCTGCCCTGGGGTCAGGGGACACTCTTCTCGCCAGATGGCTCCTTTACGAGGTGCGAGGCGAACGTCGTTTGCGCCTCGGGTTGTAGCGCAAGAGGGAGGAGGAGGAGGAGGAGGAGCAGCAGAAGGAGGAGGAGGAGGAGGAGGAGGAGCAAGAGGAGGAGGCGGAGGCGGAGGAGGGGGCGGAGGAGGAGGAGGAGGAGGAGGAATCTGAATATTAATGTTAGTACCAACAACACTAGTACGGTTAACATCAAGAAATAATAATGGCAATACCGCTATCAAACATAGTACTCGTAATGTTACCACCAATCATCATACGAACATGGCGAACACGATGGCGATTCCTAATACTCACAATGCTGACACTAATACTTATAATAATACACATATTAACAATACGAACAGCACGACTACTACGAACTCGGCGAGCACAATTAACATTACGAAAAACACGATACTACTAACGTTACGAATCATATAATCCTGCTACCAAGACTACTCATACTATCCATCATAGGGTTACTCATACTATGATCATACATGCTAATACTACGACGGAACATACGCATACTACTGCAACTAGGAAGAAAAGTAAGACGACGACCACTATTATTCCGACTATTCATACGGATGATCCTAAGTCTACTTAACATAATACGGCGAAGACGAAGCCGACGAACACTGATACGTCCAATCCGAAATATGCATGATACACATACCAACATTGATACAACTACTACAATAAGACGGACAGTCGCACGATTGATAAGACTAGTACGAAGAAGCTACTAACAACACCAACAAGAAGAACACGAACACGACTACTAGCAATAAGAAACACCCGACGAAGAAGGAGAGGAGGAGGAGGCAGAGGAGCATGAGGAGGGGGGGGTGGGCAGGACGAGGAAGAGGGGGAGGAGGAGGAGGAATAGGAGGAGGAGGAGGAGTAGGAGGAGTAGGAGGAGGAGGACGAGGAGAGGAGGAGGGAGGACGGAGGAGGAGGAGGAGGAGGAGGAGGAGAGGAGGAGGAGGAGGAGGAGGAGGAGGAGGAGGAGGAGGAGTGGGAGGGCGAGGGGGAGGAGGAGGGGAGGAGGAGGAGGAGGAGGAGGAGGAGGAGGAGGAGGAGGAGGCGGATGACGAGGAGGAGGCCAAGGAATAGGAATAATACTACCAAGGATAAGACAACGAATCTGAGGAACAACGCTATTAGCAATACACATGATACCCATAACAAGTAAGACGAGCACGACGAATCGTTGTAGCACGACAACTAACAACAGCACTAATATTATTATACAGGCGAACCGCAGACCATGCCACAACCAATATTTTTTTGCGCATTGATAACAGTACTAATAAGCACACGACTATTGTTAAAACGATTGCTCGTATACGTAGTAGTCGTATAGAGTAAGAGTACGAAACATACCACGCATGATAATATGATGCGTCAGAACACGACGATTCCGACTACTGCGAAGAAGCATACCAGCATGACGAATGACAGTAGTATTACAATCATTATAATCAGAGTCGTAAGACGAACGGGGATAATCCGCATACCAATAATACCAGTACTAAGAAAACTGTTAGTCATCATGCGAGGAATGCGATTGATACGAACATTACGAAGAAGAAGCATCATAACACTACTACGAAGACGAATAATAATGTTAATCCCACCAGCCCTCTCGGCGCAGGTGGTGTAACGATGTCTTTCCTCTTCCAAAAGCCCTTCTTCCCCTTCGGGGAGGGGTTTATCACTGTTCGCTATTGATAAACACCCCCTCCCCCACCCGGCCGGCAGCCAACCCGGACCATGCGCACACCATGAGGGCTACCCCCCCACCATCCTTTTCAAAAAACA